AAGAGAATTTTGGCAATGGGCCAAAGCAGAGTGTCTTTGCTTGTTTCAACTAAGGGTTTATTTGATGTAAATTTTTTGAAAATAAATGATGTGAAAATTAATATTTTTGGAAAATGTGTAGTTAAAAAATGAGAAAAAATTATGAATCCCTACCAAACCAGGGCTAAAGAATCAAAATGGTGAAATATTATCGGGAGAATGTGATTAAAAAAGAATTTAGGGAATTTGAATTGTGAAAAACCCCTAGGGCTAAATAATTAAAAGGTGAAATTTTGGGCCTTTTTTGGCGGCAATTTATAAAGTTGTGCATGTGCCCAACTATTGATGACAAATAAATTTGGCATAAAAGTAAAATAAAATAAATAAATTTGTCCGTGCTATATAGAGAGCCTCACAACAGAGGATGAGAAGAGGTCTCAAAAGCTTGCAAAATGTCAGCGTGGGGACAAGGAATATGGTTGATAAGTGCATTTTTACACACTTATTTTGATTTACAAACATGGATAATTGTCGATAAATATGTGGAATATAGTTAATTTGATTCAATATGTGTTTGCAGGACAATACTGATAATTGCGATGGAAATTAGAAGAAAAAAAGAGAAAAAGGGCTAAAACGAACGAAAATCAAAGTTCAAGGACGAAGATGAAAATAGTCAGAAGATGGGCCGATAGAGAAATTGAAGAAGAGAAGATGGTGAGATCGAATTGAGCATGGGAATTACACATTGGAAGAAGAAGTGAGAAAAGAGGTCAAGAAACAAACAAAAGGAAGTTCGAGGACCAAAACGCAAGGATGAGGAAATTCCTTAACACTATATCTATGCGGTCGCATAAGGTGATGCAGGGAATTTTAGTGCCCAAACCATTTCTTTTATGCGGTCGCATAGAAGAAAAATTCTGCGAGATTCTGGTTTTCTATTTTAACTAAACTACCTATGGAAATAAGATCGGAGGCCGCGTATTTAACCGAAAAGAGATCCAGAACGTAGGGTTACGCCACTTTAGAGAGAAAAACTCATTGAAAGGCAATGAGAAGGCAAAAACCAAGAGATTTCTACATCGAAGATTGAAGAATTCGAGATTTATATTCAAGTTTTGGGCGATGTCTTTTTCTAAACAATTTTATTTTATTCATACCAGACTAGACTTTTTATCTAGTAGGTGAAAGATGAAACTCACAATGTGACCTTTTAATTCTCTATTTTGTATTTTGTGTATTCGAAAGAAGTGAAATAGATTTTACAAGGTATAAATCATTCTAGGGTTCAATAGGGGATAGAAATATACCGCTATACTTTACGTGAGTCTCTAAGTATTTACAAAACGTCATGCATTTCTGTATATTGGATTTGTCATATAAATATAGTCAAATGGTATAAGAGAATATGTTCAATTCTACTCGAAAGAGATTTTTGGATAAGTTAGAAACATTGATTATTCAATCAATCCATAGTGTCATCGAATTGTGAAGTAGAGGTTAAAAGTGAGCTTGATTGGTGATTCGGGATCCTAGTGCGCTTTTCATTCATTAATTTCATCAAACTTTTGCATTAAACATAGTTTTGCATTCATTTAGTCNTCAAACTTTTGCATTCAACATAATTTTGCATCCTTTTAGTCACATTAGCTTAAATTGCATTTTTGTTGCGTTTTAATCATAGTTTAGTCACAACATCCAAATAACCAACCATCTTGAGCTTGATAGATTCGGTTAAGGTCTTGATAAAAGAAATCAATTCAAATCAATCCTCGTGGGACGATACTCGAAATTTTACAATTTTCACTTTATTACTTGCTAACGAACTGTACACTTGCGGTGATTTATAAAGCGAACAAATTTTCGTGAACAAATTTTTGGCACCGTTGCCGGGGATTGAGTTTTCATTTGATTTTTGTTATTTAGACATTAATTCGAACTTGTCTTTATGTTTATTTTACATTTGCATTTTACTTAGTCTTTCTACTAGGGCTGAGTTAAGTGCTACTGTTTTTCTTACATTCAAATCTTGCGTGACGTCAAGCTGATTTGGAAATTGAACGAACTTTTGATCGCAGACAGAGGGAAGCAAGAGCAGCGGAGTAGAAAGATCAAGAACAAATGCAAATGGCTTATCAACTTTTGGAATCGAGAGTAAATCCTGCAGCTCCAACCAATGCGGAAGCTTAATATGATGGGAATGCTCTTCTAGGGGACTTCTTGTCTATTCGTTGCTCAGAGTCAATCCAGCATTGTCTATCCCGCATTTGAACAGCTAAACTTTCAGCTGAAGACTAACGTCATCCAACTATTCCAAAACGAGCATCAATTCTATGGGCTAGCCAACGAGAATCCGCATATACATGTATCCCGCTTCTTGGATATGTGTCAACACTTCTGGTACCAAGAGATATCAGAAGATACGATCAGGTTGAGGTTATTTCCACACACTCTGCGAGATAAAAGTACTCGAGTGGTTGGACTCACTTCCTATGGCTAGCATCACTACTTGGAATGATTTGGCTCATAAATTCTGCACGAAGTTCTTCTCACCAACCAATGTTGGAAGATTGAGGCACGAAGTATTAATATTAAGCCAGAATGAGTCCGAATCATTTGATGAGGCATGGAACAGATTCAAGAATATGCTGCGAAAATGTCCACAACATGGGTTTGACAAGTCGTCACAAATCAGGTTTTTTTACACAGAACTGCTTCTAGCTTTCTGGAGCATGGTGGACTCGTCATCAAATGGGTCC